AAACCATGCGCCTTGTCTTTCAAACTCCAATCAAATTCTTGAACAAAATAAATGCTTAAGAATTCAATTCCACTTGGTTTACTTGAACTCAGTACAAAATGGTTATTTAGATGAAAACCTTAAACTTTCGATCATATCTAATTCAAACTTGCATTCAAAATGAAACTCGCATAACACACTTGATTAAAGATGGAACTTCATTGCCAAATAAACAAGCTCTGAGAAAATTCGTCAATATTTTAACAAACTGTGGTTAAGAACACTTAAAAATTAACTAATGACTTGCGACGATTCGATAATTTTTAAAGTCTTCCAAACACAATTTTATTTCGATCTTTGGAGATAAATTCGTGTGCAATATCACTTATGACCATATGCAGAAATAATCATATCAAGATCTTGCAATTTGAAGAAATCACAATTTTTAGGAATCAGGCGACTGTTATTCAAAATTAGGTCAAAATTCATGATGCGACTTCTAACGTATTCAAATTTTGGTGATCTTATACACGGAATTAGCTCTTGATTTAAGAAGAGAAATTGGAGATAGAATCAAGGGGAATCATGCGCAATAAGAACCACTCAAAAATATTGAATAATGAAGAAGTTATGATCGTTTGAACTTGTTCTCGCAAAAGGTCAATTTTTGGGTCGATGTAGTCGTTTTCAGTCATTTGAACCATTGATTTAGAAAACTTGCAATGCGAGGTTTGAAAAATGGCTTAAATAAACTTTGAGGAGACATGAAAACCTATGAAGACCAATTGAGACCTTGGAGTCTCAATTTTATTTGAGAGATGCAAAATCCTAATTGCGGATTTACTACTTAGGAAGAGGATCTGTTTGATCAACTTCTGAGTCAAATTGAGTATTCGAGAAACCCTAGGATAGTATCTTGTATGAAAAATGGGAGGGAAAATTTTGGGGTACAATAGCTGCCCCTGTTCAATCTTCTTAAACTTGAAAAGTGAGATCGACATGTTTGTCGTTCGTAGCTTGAAAGTAGAAGATGATTGAACATTAAAGTGCCCAGAAATTTGCACTTGATGATGTGTTGGTTTATTGTGTAGGGAATGGGCTTAAAGATTTAATTTGGAGAAATGATGGAGAGTTGTCAGAGATTGGCTTAAAGATGCCATCCAAAGGTGATTATTGACAAAAAATTAGACTAAGTCTGAACTTAACTTCAACTGGAAAAGAAAATCAGAATAAACCTTTGGTCGATTTAAACCGGAACTAGCAGAAGTCTTGAATGTCGTTTGACTGGAAATAATCAGAATAAATCTTGGAGCGATTTAAACTGAACCAATAGAGGTCTTGGATTAACTTTGACTGGAAAGCATCAGAATAAATCTTGATGCAATTTATCTGAACCATAGAAAATTTTCTGCTGGGAAAGACTCAGAATAAAACGTTGAGAGATTTATCTAAACCAGCAAGGGTCTGGAGAAGAATCTGAGTAATTGTTGAGAGATTTATCTGAATCAGAAAGAATCTGGAGAAGAATCTAAGCTAATTGTTAAGAGATTTATCTGAATCAGCAAGAATCTGTAGAAGAATCAGAACAAGTTGTCGAGAGATTTATCTGAACCAGAGAAAATTTCTGCGAGGAAAGAATCAGGATAAACCGTTGAGAGATTTCAACTGAACCAGCAGGGGTCTGGATAGTAAGGTTATGAGAACCTGGGTAGTAGGGTTACTTCGAAATAAATCCTGGGTAGTAGGGCTTATGAGAAGGAACCTGGGTAAGGTTGCTTCGAGATGAAAGCCTGGATAGTAGGGCTATGAGAAGGAACTTGGGTCGTAGGGTTACTTCAAAATGAAATCCTGGATAGTAGGGCTATGAGAAGGAACCTGGGTCATAGGGTTACTTCGAAATGAAAGCCTGGATAGTAGGGCTATGAGAAGGAACCTAGGTCATAGGGTTACTTCAAAATGAAAGCCTGGATAGTAGGGCTATGAAAAGGAACCTGGGTCGTATGGTTACTTCGAAATAAAAGCCTGGATAGTAGGGCTATGAGAAGGAACCTGGGTCGTAGGGTTATGAGAACCTGGGTAGTAGGGTTACTTCGAAATAAAGCATGGGTAGTAGGTCTTATGAGAAGGAACCTGGGTAAGGTTGCTTCGAGATGAAAGCCTGGATTGTAGAGCTATGAGAAGGAACCTGGGTCGTAGGGTTACTTCGAAATGAAAGCCTGGGTAGTAGGGCTATGAGAAGGAACCTGGGTAGTAGGGTTACTTCATGATGAATTTGTGTGAAACTTTATTTGGAAATGTATGAGAAGGGACCCGTGTAAGATTTTTTAAGATAAACCCGTGTGAAGCTGTATATAAGAGAAATCCGTGTAAGATTGTGTTGTGACAAACTCGTGTAAAGCTACATTTGGTCGCGTAAATGATTACTCTGTTTGGTTTCAGGAGCTAATCTTGGACCCGATTCTGGGAAAATAAATCCATGACTACTGCTGGAGAGTATTGGAAATAGCATTCCTGACTGTTGTAGAAAACTGTGGTTCTTCTACTTCCGCTGGGGAGAGACTCTGCTTGAGAATAATTCTGCAGGGAAGAATCAGGATAAACCGTTGAGAGATTTAAACTGAATCGGCAGAGATTTGAAGGAAATATTTGTTATGTAGATGGTCAACCAGTCCTTTCTCAAGAATTGATCTGTAATTGATTTGTCCACAAATAGTTATCCTGATGGAAATTTGATGATAATTTCATGTTGATTGATTTTTCCTGAAAAGGTGAAGAGTTAGTTGTATGGGATGCCATGATGTATGAAATGCATGGCATGAGATTGTGTTATATGCATTTGTGTTGTTAATGCCATTACGTATGAATGTAATGTATGAACATATTAATTGTTCTGCTGCAATGTTGCTGGACTCAGGGAAAATAAATCCCTGAGTACTGCTGGGAATGAGGAGTGTAAGTCTTCATATTTTGTTGAATTTGAAGCATGGATGGATGAGTTTCCATTATTAGATAAATAAACTCTATTGGGGAAGGGAAACTTCGTGCATTGCTTGTGAACTTTGTGAAATCCTGTTGGGGAATCCTGAGAAGCTGGGCGACTTTCACTAGGGAATCTCTGGAGCAGTAACTGGAATTTTTGCTCCGTCGGGGATGTGAGAGCACCTGATACCATTAGGCTGCATACTGGAGATACGTTAGTGATCCTGTAGTAGGATGTCCTTTCTTCCTCTCCTGCTGGAGAAAGTACCTGCAGGGATTGTAGAGAAGTCTGCTGGGGAAGAGGAGTTGTGGTCCCTTGATTTATGATAGTCTGGGAAGCAAATTCAAGATGGATAATCTTGCCTTTTGTTGGAGAAATAAATCTTGTCTCCAATCCGCCAGAAGGGCGCTTCAGACAAAAAATCCATAAGGCTTTTAACTCAATTAAGACCAGCTCAGCTGGGGAATGTCAGAATAATTTCAAGCTTTGATGGTATCTGAGGAGATATTGAATGAGTATCAGAATGATATCCATATCTGGATCGTATTTGAACCGTATCTGCAAGAGAATTGTATCCTCTGTTTGGGAACTAGTGTGATGTATGCATTTGTTGGGAGAAGATTTAAACTCCTCTATTTGCTGGCGAGTTTGAATATGTCATTGGCTGGAGGATGCCCCATTTTTATTTAAAGATGCTTCTGCACTAGTCGGGGATAGCCTTGTGACTCTGACGACTTCACCGGGGATCACCTTATGAATGGTATTTTAGGGGGATTTGTCAATGTCTATAGTAGTAAGTTTTGTAGTAATTCCAGCAAATGTTTTCTTGGTCACACATGACCCTTTATATGTGAGAGCCAGTTTGCCCCTAGAGTTAATCTGGTGCACCTCGACGTTTGAGATTTTGATAACATTTCTGGTAGCCCCGAACTTTCTAGGGATATTTTCTAAGACTGTTGTGGAAGAAACCGAAGACCTGATACTGACACCATCTGGTACTACTGGCACAAAGAAACAAATTGGTGGTACCCAAGATCTTTGGTCAAGTGTCAGAATTTTCTAAGAACTGTCATGGGAGGATCCGAAGACATGATACAGACACGATATGATACTAAAGGTACAGACAAGCGATTTGATGATACTGGAAGTCTTCATACACTACAAGAAAAATGATAGATTGGGACGGTTATTTTGGCTGATTACGACGGTTAAAACCGTCGCAATTTACAATCTATGACGGTAGAAGTACCGTCGCAGAATCGTGCGTCCCCAGCCTATTTCGCGACGGTTGCAAAAACTGTCACGCACAACAGATAGCGACGGTTATATACCGTCGTGAATTTGACTTTATTTTTTGTTTTTGTTGTTGTTTGCGACGGTTATTCTACCGCCGTAGGTTAGAAATTGCGGCGGTTTTAACCGTCGTAATCTGATTTATAAATTTCAAATAATATTTTTATTTAAATTATTATTTAGTATTAATTGAAGAATATAATTAAACAAAAATAAATATTGTATTGTAAATTGAAATAAATTAATCATTTTAAAATGTACATTTTTGGTATTGGTCATTCATGTGGAATACGAAGAGTATACAAAAACTTAATAAAATATTAAAATGAAAGCACGTGAATAACCAATAATGTCATCCACTTTCAATTAAATACGAAAACAACTATTCTGTCTTGTATTGATTCTGAATCATAATACTATCCACTCATACAATAAAAAACAACAGGCATGAACGTGACACCCCAAGCCACTTGCTATACTTTCTCTTAAAAAAATCAAACATATCAAGAATAATCAAATAACATCAACAACAGCCATACTTTAAACATTACATTTAAATAACCAGACAAATTAAAAGAGAGATAATAACTGTATTAAAAATATGAAAACCACATGCTCTTAGTCTTGGATTTGTAATACTTATCTTCAAAAAGGAATATTATTTTGTCTATATATAAGTTTGATGAAGTACACAAAGATCATTGAGCAAAACCAGTAGTCACTACATTTCTGCTAACTACTTATCAGTATGGCTATCCAAGAAGCTTTGTTAGACAAGCCAAGAAAATCGATTCCAAAAACATTTTGGTTAATCCTCTCTTTAGCTGCTATCATAAGCTCATCAGCCCTTATTGCTACTCATCTCAAGAAACCAACCTCCTTCTTCCACTTCTCTTCTGCTCCAAATCTGTGTCAGCATGCTCTTGATACAGAAGCATGCTTAACTCATGTATCTGAAGTTGTTTAAGGCCCAACCTTGGCTAGCACAAAGACCACAAATTGAGTACACTCATATCCTTATTAACCAAGTCCACCACACACATTCAAGAAGTCATGAAAAGAGCCAATGTTATAAAACGCCGAGTTAACGGTCCTAGAGAGGAGACAGCTTTGAATGACTGTGAGCAACTAATGGACTTGTCCATGGATAGAGTTTGGGACTCAGTGTTGACTTTAACAAAAAATAACGTTGAATCACAGCAAGATGCACACACATGGCTAAGTAGTATACTCACTAACCATGCAACTTGTTTGGATGGTTTAGAAGGTGCGTCTAGGGCCGTGATGGAAAATGATCTTGAGGACTTGATATCCAGAGCTAGATCTTCTCTTGCTGTGCTTGTTTCTGTCTTACCTAAACCGGATCACAAGGAATTCATTGATGAATCATTGAATGGGGAATTTCCCTCGTGGGTTTCAAACAAGGATATGAGGCTTTTGGAGTCTAGAATTAGGGACATTCAGGCCAATGTTGTGGTGGCTAAAGATGGGAGCGGTAAGTTCAAGACTGTGGCTGAGGCTGTGGCAACTGCACCAGACAACGGTAAGACAAGGTATGTTATCTATGTGAAAAGGGGAACCTACAAAGAGAAGGTAGAAATCGGTAAGAAAAAGACGAATGTTATGCTTGTCGGTGATGGTATGGATGCAACAATAATCACAGGCAGCTTGAATTTTATCGATGGAACAACCACTTTCAATAGTGCAACTGTTGGTATGAATTCTTCTTCCCCTTGTCTGTATTTACCATTTCCATATTTTTGTTCATGTTTAATTTGGTTTTGCAGCTGCTGTTGGGGATGGGTTTATAGCTCAGGACATTGGGTTCCAAAACACGGCAGGCCCAGAAAAGCACCAGGCAGTTGCTCTCCGTGTAGGCGCGGATCAATCTGTCATCAACCGTTGTAAAATTGACGCATTTCAAGACACTCTTCTCAGAACTTCATCTCTCCAAAACTCACTCTCTAACTGCTTCTCTACACAAAATCATTTTCATCAACAAGTCCGAATCGGCTTCTCAACAACGATAATCAACATCACGCATACTTCATCAAAACTGCATCATCATCATGTTCAATGATTTTCAAATCACACAGGACAATAATTCCATATAACACTGTAGTAAAAACAAGAAGCAAATTCGTGGAAGAGATTTGAAGAAGATGAATTACCAATGAAATGTGAATTCAAAGTGAGAAAGTGAGGTATTCGTACCTAAGTTTCTGAAGAGATTGCTATCTGATTTTCTCACCATCTTCATCAATTTGAAGAGCCTTCGGAGCTGCTCTGACGGGTAATTTCGATTCTCTATTTGTCATTACCTCCGCGTTTAATCGGAATTTTGAGATTTAAAGTAGCAAAAGTGTTTTGTTGTTTCAAACTCTTTTCGATCTAAATTTATGATATGATGAAATGATTGCTAAAGAAAAATCACGGAGGTAATTGAAACCTGAGATTGAAACATTGAGAAGAGCGACCAAATCACGAACGCATTCGAATAGAAGTGGAACCGTGCAGCGAAGCTTTGTCAAAAGAGAAACGTTGAAGCTTGAGACAGTGGATGAATGAAGTTTGTTGATGAAGCCTGAGATGTTATTCACAATACAGTGTTGACATAGTGAGGTCATCGGAATTTGAATCAAGACGACAGAGGATGACGCGAGATCGAGATGGACGAATTGAGCGAGATGAGCAGAGATTGAAAGATTCTGAGGGCGTGTGGAGGCGTTGCAAAGTGGCTCATCATCGATTTGAATAGGCGAAGAGAGAAAGATGGTTGAACTTTGACAGAGCGATGGAGGAGTTGACGAAGGCTCGAAGCGAAGATGATAGACGGAATCGGAGGCATTAACAGAGAGATTCGAGAGAAGAGATCGGAGAAGCGTTTCTGTTGATTGTCGAAGGCAGACTGAAGCTGTGATGAACGGAGCAAGGTGACAGAGACAGCGCCGGAACAGAATAAGCAGTGGTGAGAGCGGCCGCGATTTTGAGAAGGAGAGGAAGTCGTGTTTTAAGAAGAAGATGAAACAACTTCTTAACCCTAGCTCTATTTCATCAAACGAAAAATTTGTTTTTTTCTTTTCTTTTTTATTTTATTATTTGTTTTATTAAATAAAAAAATATGAAATAAAAATAATGCTTAAATTTGAGAAAAGAAGTGAAATCGTAATAAAGAAGAAAAATATAAAGGAAATTGTAATTTAATAAATAAAATTATGAAAATCTTAAAATAATATTGATGGGTGTGAAAATTTATTTTGTTGGTAATTTATTTTATTATTATTATTATTATTATTATTATTATTATTATTATTATTATTATTATTATTATTATTATTATTATTATTATTATTATTATTATTATTATTATTATTAATAAAAGAGAAAAAGAAGGGGAAATGAAAGAAAAAAAGTGGGAAAGTAAAAGAATAAAAAAAAGTAGCGATTATGATTGGCTAATGTAGTTACGACAGTTCACCTAATTGTCGCGGATGTGAAAAGAGGGCGGTTTTTTGGTAACTGTCGCAATTATGTTACTCATAATGCTTGAAAATCTACGACGGTTGAGCCTAACCGTCGTGACAACTGTCGCAATTCAGGAATAAGGACGGTTTTGTGGGAACTGTCGCAATTTATGTGTCGTAAATCTCTTTTTTTCTTGTAGTGATAGTGGATTCTGTTCAAACCCATGATCAACGTAACATTTCCCCTTGAGTGATTCAGATGGAGATTTGCCCCTTGAGTGATTCAACATTTCTTTGAGAGATTCTTTGAATCTCGACTTGACTTCCCCAGATGTGTTGGACAATGGTCATGCCATGCCCCTTGGTTATGAGATATTTGTCATTGGAAGCGTCTCTCCATTTGAAGTGATTTTGTTTATTGAGAGAGTTTTCATTTGCTGAATATTCGTCGTGTGAATTTATCTGTTGTCAAACAATTAGCCATGTGCAAACAACGGCATTAACAATAATGCAAAATTTATTCTTGTCTTGAAGTTTTGAAAATGCGTTTTAGCAGATAAAAGAGTTTTGCAAGCATGTGAGTTTAAATAAGGATTTAGAGTAAGTCTTACAGGAGTTAGGATACCTTTTGTAACAGTATGCTTTCGAACTAACCCATGCTTCAATTAGGACTTTGAAAGGTTGTATCGTGGTCTAGGTTCATGGTTTAAGAAACAAAGGATAAGGCTCAAAGTGTAATTGTACCCGCCCGTTCTTCGTGATGTTCTTCAGTCCTAAACTCAGTTAATTGTTCGTTTGAACTCCAATTGAGTCTGGAATGGCGTTTTGGTGATGGTTCAGACCAATTAAGTTTGTTGGAAGGCAGTCATTTTTGCCATATTTTCCATGTTGTTGAGGATTTATAGTGACCTCTTTTTGATTTATTATCCCTGATTTTGCCTGGCTGTTCTTGTTTTTGAGATTATAGTCAGCGGGATGCCCCAGTTTTTCTTAAGTGTCCTTCGTAGGTTTTGACTTAGTGGGCTTTTCTTTTGAGAGGTAATAAATGCCTATGTGATAAGGCACCATCGCCGTCTTTTGATTCCAGAGGAATGTTTTTTGATGTCATTCGTTGTATACGGAGTGAAAGTTTGTGATTGAACATGTATTTGAATTAGCTGAGAGACCACCTGCCCCAGGTTTTGATTAAAGGTTTCATTTTGTGTGGAAAAGAAAACTCCTACTTCTTTGGCTCAAAGGTGTTGTCTAGGGATTATCCTCCTTATAACTCCAGTGTATAGGAATTGAAAAAACGTCTGTACATCGTCAGCAAGGTCTGTCCAAAAGCATATTGTATGAGATTAAGGCATTGTTTTTGTCATCCTCCCTCTAAAGGCTTGCAACTTTTGAAACAAGAGTTGAATATCATAAAGGGAGTAAAAACCATAGTTCAGATATAATGAAAATGAACAGATTGATTCAAGACAAACATATTTAATGCATCAATGAGAGTAACTAAAGTCTGACATAAATATAAGTGTTTAAGCAAACAAAGAAATTACAACTGAAAATTTGAATAAACAGAAAATTTCGTCGCCCAAATCGTCACTTCACATGGATGCCCTTGAGGGGTGATAGAAGAGCTCCAGTTGATCGTCTTGTGTAAATTCCAACACTCCTTCATCGATTAGGTATTGAATTCTATTCTTCAGAGCCCAACAATTGTTTGTATCATGCCCAGGACCATCAGAATGATATGCACACCTCTCATTGGGACGATAATTAGGAGCAGTAGTATTAAGATTATGGGGGGGGGGGGCTTTTAATTTAATTAGCTCCGCCTTCAACATGTGTTGTAGTACCTGAGCTAGTGACATGTCGATCATGGTGAATTGTCTCTTAGGTGTGACCTCTTTGTGCTGATTCCCCTGTTGTTGTTGGCGAGGTTGTTGTCGGGCCCGTGACGTGACAGCAATTTGGAAAGGTCCACTCTTTATCGGAGGCTGATTAATGACTTGATCCCCAATTCTAGTTGTTTTCCCCATTTGGTTGCATCCGTCTTGATGAAGCTTGTTGATGAGGGTCCTTAGCTCCTCTAGTCCCTGAGCTAAGTTTTGGATAAGAGCCATCTGGCCCACCAGTTGCCCCATCATCTGGAATTTCATTATTGCCATTTCAGTTTGTAGCCTTTCCAGCTGGTCATCCTTGTCGTCCTCAGGATTCTCCATGGTCAAGCCCATAGTGAGGAGTGCTTTCACTTCCTCTTGCCCCTTGGATAGGTTCAAGAACATTTCCTGAAGCTGAGCGTTTTGAGTCTGAATGTCCTTGATAGTCTGCTCTAGTGTCATCTCTATTGAAATAAACAATAAGCAGATAAGAGATTTGTGTGGGAAAAGCCTGTCATGATATGATGCATGATATGTGGATGCATGTTTTCAAGGATCTTGCGGGGTAAACACAAGAAGATGTTATAAGTTGAATTTTGATCAACAATTTTGACTGGAGAACTTCGTGTTGGTGAATGTCCTTCAACTAGAATCAAGCTCACCATGTCAAGTGGGTCATAGCCCTTGACTCAAGTTACCGTGCTTTGGTCTTTGACAGTGTTTGATTAGAGAAAAATAAATCCTCTTGCCCCTGGATAGGCGTATGGTTCAACATGACCCTGCATCATAGGCCCTTGAGATCCTTAAAAAGGTTATTGAAAATGTTATGGTATGATGTCATGATGTCATGTACAAGTATGCAAAGTAAGCAAGTTGTTATATACACACAAAGTAGACAAGTCCTTAGGTTTAGGCTTGCATGGAGTTTGTAGGTAAGTATCCTCTTGAAGTTTAGTTGGCTCAACCTGTCCTAGTAATAGTGATCGGGTTCTAAAGGATCTCAATATCACCGACCTTTATTCTAGGCATTGTCTCAGCACAATCAATCTTTTCTTGCGGACGAGATATCCCAAAAGTCCAGCCTCAATGAGTGTAGTATCGAGTATCAACCAATTTTCAGCTCTACACCGAAACCGGTTATCTCACTACGTCCTAATGGCCAAGTTTGTTCAACTAGGGTTCTAAAGTCAGTTAGTGCTTCATGACGCCACTCAGCGGCCCCGTATTCTCCTCGATTCAACATGAGGGATACCGGTACCCACAAATGCGTCACACTAACGTAGCCATTGTTTCAACCATATCGGTCTATGCTGTACAGTTTCCACAATCTATTGCTACTTGCCTAAAAAGGTGTCCCAGATCCGGGTGGAGGATCAAAGCAAGCCCAATACAAAGAACAAAATGTAAAGCACGCAAAGAAAGAAAGTAAAGGTGATCTAACCCTAAGGTAACCCCACCTTTAGTTTTTAAATCCCCAACAGAGTCGCCAGTTCTGTGATACAGTAGGAGAACTGACTCAGGTCGTTTTGCATTTGATCGCAATTGTGCGTATAACAAGAGTTGCCACCGACTTTTCTTTTATCTAAAAGGAAAGGTAAAAAAGCACAGGAAAGACCTTTCGAGATTATTTCTCGGGTTCGAGGGGTAGATTATGAAAAGGGAAGGTATTAGCACCCTTTTCATCTGTAGTTATCTACGGGCTCTTAGTTACTCGTTAGATCACTTGCTTTTGTTTGACAATATGCTTGTGGTGCGGGTTTTGAAATTATTTTGAAAATGTCTTTGTAATGGTTCTCGTTTCTATAAGAACACGTACAAAGTTTTGTTTCGAAAAATAGTTCAAATATATGTTTGTGGAATGTGTTTTTGAAAGTGGTTTTGAAAATATGTTTTTGCAATGGTTCTCGTCTCTATAAGAACATATACAATATGTTTTGTCTTTCGAAAATGTTTTTGAGATGAATGTGTTGGTGTGAAAATGTTTTTGTCGTGAGCAAGCGAGCAACTAGGAGTGAATCTACCTACTCGAAAAGTCTTAAATATTCTTTTCTTCCTCCTTTAGATGTTGCTATCTTACCATTGATTTGGTAAGAAGCCCCATCATTGGATGTGAAGGGACGGGCGCAGGTCAATCGTACAGTCATCGAAAGCAACTTATGAGACGCTTTTAGCAATTTTCGTAAGGGACTAGATTGTTTTGTCGAAGACAACATCGAGGGTCATCGAGGGACTACGATCTTTTATCGAAGGGTCTTTGCTAAAGCGTCCCATATTTGAGGGACATGACTGTGTTTCTGAGGCAACGAGCGAGGTTACCCTAGAGGTGTGCGTGTGAAAAGTGTGTCTGATTCAAGTTATTTTGTCTTTGAAATAAGGTTATCTAGCGATTATTTTTTTAATCTTGGCATACACGCCTAATTACTATACAGTATACAGAAAATAGTAAATTGCGGAAATTGAAATTCTACGCTGTTACAGAGTTTTCGGGAATGGGGGTACAAATTTTACAAATAGGGATGAATCGAATGCGATTAAAAAGTTCAAATAGCAAACAATACAACCCAATCGAATTAAAGATAAACAATTAATTTAAACTAAAATAAACTATTAAATAAAATTAATTAGCGGAATAATTAATAATATCAAAATAATGTTTTTGGTGTTTTGTTTATGATTAAAATTTAAAAAGAAAAATAAAATTCTATTCTATTATTTTCTTTGAAATTTTATTTATCATGAAGAAATTAAACAATTTTAAAGAATGTTAACTAAATAAAAGAAAGTGTTATTTAACTAAATTATTCACAAAATCCATAACTAAACTAATTAAGAAAACTAAATAATTTTGAAATTGTATTTTTTATTTAATTGAATTTTAAAGTTAAAACTAAAGATTAATAAAATTAAATCTAAACTAAATAAAGTTACTAAATTAAAATAAAAATCAAAATTCTAAGTTTATTAAAATAAATCTAAACTAAAAATTAAAAATCCTAAAATTTCAAAATTCCACTTAAGTTAGCTTAAAATTCTAAAGTTATTAATTAAACTAAATTAATAAAGATAAAACAAGTGTAGGGAGTGTTGAAGCAGAATGGTAGTGATGTTGATAGTAAAAGAAATTGGGCTTGTAAATCTAAGGCCCAAACTAATATCAGACAATTTATTAGCATAAAAAAAAAAAAAAAACTGGGCCGGACCGGGTCGGGTCCAACCCAGCCCCACTCTAGAACCCAAACGGGTTGTACCAAAACCCTAGCCGTTCATTTCCTCCAAAAAAGAACATTCGTTCTCTTCTTCTCCCAGTCTCATAAAAAAATCCCTGTCCTTTTTTTTGAATCGATCTCTCTCAATCGAATCATCATCACCAATTACCACCTCCTTTCTCACAACATGTTTCTCTTACTCTATTCTCTCATCGAAACGTGCAAAAACAAGATTATAACAGACTCCCAATATGAACCCCAAATCCCATCTTGGTTTCGATGATTCTTACAAGGTTTATGACTTACATCACTGGAAAACAGAGATTCAGATAACAAAATAGCAAAATCAACAGGAAATCATACCAATGGAGGTCCAGGTGAACCTCTGAGTTCGTTCCCTTTATTTGATGCTCCTTATGTTGATTGTCGTTGCTTTGTCTCTTTCTCTTTGTCAACTTCTTTCTTCTTCAATTTATTGTTCACTATTATTGTTATTGTTGCATGGATTATATGAATGTTGTAGTTGTTGTGTATATTAGAAGAGAGTGTGAATACAAGTATGTGAGGGATGGCGAGTGTTTGAAGGTTGGCTGTAGTGAAGTTACAGGGTGTGTATGAAGAGATTAAGAGTGAGGTTTCTGTTGTGAGGTTTTCTGGTTTTGTATTGTCTTGGCCTTTGCTGGTTTTTGCTGTTTGCTGGTTTGTATATTTGCTGTTTTTTTTGTATATTTGCTGTTGTCTTGAGGTTTTATAATAGCATGAGGATTTTAGTTGGGATGGAAAAATCAGATCCTCTCTCGAAAAAGTTTGGTTGCTGTTATATAGGAGAGGTAGTAGGAAAATGGAGGAAATTTTTGATAACTTGGTAAACTGCTCCGTGGCCTTTTTGAGTGCAGGTTGATGTTTTGCCATTTTAGTGCAACTCTTAGACTGTTTATGATGCAGGACAGTGGACAGGTTTTTGGTATTGGTTTTGCAGGTTAACTTGCAGCAAGGCTTTGGACAAATTTTATACTGCTATGGGCAGCATAGGGATGCTTTGAGAGTAGGTCTTCTTGGACTGCTTTTGTAGCAGGCCTTTGTAGCAATAGCCGCCTGTTTGTCTTGGCATGACTTTGGATTATTTGCTGGCTAGGTGATATCTTTCTACCTCTTGAAACAGATTTTGGTTTAGCTCATTTGTGTGCAAGTTTTTGGACTGATATGGCAGGTTTGGACAGGGGCAGCAGGACTATTTTTGCAGCCAGTTTGTTTTATGATAACAGCTGGTCTTGTCTTGGCAGGAAAGCTTTGCCTTAGCAGCTGGCTTTGCAATTTTGGGACTGTTTGTGGCCTAGGTGATATCTTTCCAAAACTTATCTCTTTCCCTCTTCATCTTTTATGAAGCAATTATGCTTTGCTAAAATTTCTGAAGGGTTTGCATAGATTAGGAAAATGATGACATGGGGTTTTGATGGCTTGCATTGTTACATTTGATGCTAATATTTTTATGAATTGTTGCTCGTTTTTACTTGTTGATTTTGCTGGCTATTGTTTATTATTTTGTGCTGTTGTGCTTAGACATTTTGCTACTGCTATTTTGTACATCTGTTTTGGGCTGTGTTGCTGCTGTTTGCCCATTTGGTGTATCTGCTGTAGGCCTGCCTTTTTGTATTTTACTGTTGCTGTTTGTAGCAGCCTCTGTTAGCTGATTTTTGTTGCTGTTTGCTGCCTGCTATTTGGCAGCTTTGTTGTTCTCATTTGTTTGCAGTTTGACCTTGCCTTTGTAATGCTTGCAAATTTATTTTTCCCTTTTTGTGAACCAAAATCCAGGTTTTGTGATTTGCGAAATAGGAAGAGGTGGATTATGATTAAAACAACAAACCTGTTAATTTTTGATTCCAAAATGCAAACCCTAATGATGAGATAAAACTTGTTTTAACCATCAATTCTTGCTTGAATTTTCACGATGTTAGCTAACTTTTCGTTTCCTTGTTTCATGAGCAAATGAGAATTGGGCGATCAAGGTTGAAAGATGAAGAGGCCATGGCGAGGAATGGATGAGTTTCTTGAAGATGAAGCAAGAGAAAATTGAAGAAGCACTATTTTTTTTGTAAACAAAACAATTGTGATTTGTATCTTAAATTGTAATTCATTTTTGTAAATTCCCATAAAATGTAACTTGAATGATACTTCTTGAGTGAATTTTATGAATTAGGAATTTATTGTTATGGAAATCAATCTTGAATTTTGATGAAATACGGAATTCCCTACTTGCATGATTTGAACATGTATCTTGCTTTGTAACTTGAACTTCAAGAAAATCCAACGCCCTTGTAATTTTTATTTCAAATAAAACCATGCGCCTTGTCTTTCAAACTCCAATCAAATTCTTGAAAAAATAAATGCTTAAGAATTCAATTCCACTTGGTTTACTCGAACTCTGAACAAAATGGTTATTTAGATGAAAACCTTAAACTTCCGATCATATCCAATTCAAACTTGCATTAAAAATGAAACTCGCACGCCATGCTCGATTAAAGATGGAAATTCATTGCCAAATAAACAAGCTCTGAGAAAATTCGTCCATCTTTCAACAAACTGTGGTTAAGAACACTTAAAATAAACTAATGACTTGTGACGATTCGATAAATTTTAAAGTCTTCCAAACACAATTTTCTTTCGATCTTTGGAGATAAACTCGTGTGCAATATCACTTATGAACATATGCAGAAATAATCATATCAAGATCTTGCAATTTGAAGAAATCACAATTTTTAGGAATCAGACGACTGTTATTCAAAATTAGGTCAAAATTCATGATGCGACTTCTAACGTATTCGGATTTTGGTGATCTTCTACATGTAATTAGCTCTTGATTTGTGAATATAAATTAGAGATGGAATCAAGGGGAATCATGCGCAATAAGAACCACTCAAAAATATTGAATAATGAAGAAGTTATGATCTTTTGAACTTGTTCTCGCAAAAGGTCAATTTTTGGGTCGATGTAGTCGTTTTCAATCATCTGAACCATTAATTGAGAAAACTTGCAATGCGAGGTTTGAAAATTGGCTTAAACAAACTTTGAGGATACATTAAAACCTATGAAGACCAATTGATATCTTGGAGACTCAATTTTCTTTGAGAGAGTCAAAATCCTAATTACGGATTTACTGCTTAGGAAGAGGATCTGTTTGATCAACTTCTGAGCCAAATTGAGTATTCGAGAAACCATAGGATAGTATCTTGTATGAAAAATGGGAGGGCAAATTTTGGGGTACAACAGTATGCAAGCTATATTTTCTGATCTTATTGAGAAGACTATGGAGGTTTTCATGGACGACTTTTCTGTTTTAAGAGCATCCTTTGATCTTTGTTTAAAAAATTTGGATACTGTGTTGAAGAGATGTGTGGAATCAAACTTGGTGCTTAATTGGGAGAAATGTAATTTCATGGTTACTGAGGGCATTGTTCTTGGTCACAAAGTTTCATCCAAAGGGCTCGAAGTTGACAAGGAAAAAGTGGAGGTGATCCAGAAATTACCACCACCATTAAACGTGAAAGGTATCCTAAGTTTCTTGGGTTATGCGGGCTTTTATTGAAGATTTGTCAAAGAATTATCCAAAATTGCAAGACCTTTGAGAACCTTGCTCAAAAAAGATAAGTCTTTTATTTTCGATGATGCTTGTTTGATAGCTTTTAACATTTTTAAACAAACTTTGACAATCACACCTATAATTGTTTCACCAATTTGGAAAATGGATTTTGAATTAATGTGTGATGCTAGAAATTATGCTATTGGTGCGGTTCTTGGTCAAAGAAAAGGAAAACATTTTCATGCCATACACTATGCTAGCAAAGTTCTTAATGAAGCACAAATTAACTATGCAACAATTGAGAAAGAATTGTTAGCTATAGTGTATGCATTGGAAAAATTTAGATCTTACCTCATTGGGTCAAAGGTTGTAGTCTACACCGACCATGCGGCGATACGATATTTGGTTACCAAACCGGATTCTAAGCAAAAACTAATTCGTTGGATACTTTTGTTGCAAGAATTTGATCTTGAAATTCGTGACAAGAAAGATTCCGAGAATTTGGTAGCGGATCACTTATCCCGCTTAGTCAATGTAGAAGTTACTAACCAAGAAAGAGAAGTTAGAGAAGAATTTCCTGATAAAAAACTTTTTATGGTACAAGTTAGACCATGGTTTGCCAATTTTGCAAATCACAAGGTATCCAGATTAATACCGGAAGATCTAACTTGGGACCAAAAGCGGAAATTTTTAGGAGATGCTAAATTTTATGTGTGGGATGAGCCTTACCTCTTTAGGCTTCAAAGTGATAATTTGTTAAGGAGATGTGTGTCGTTGGAGGAATCAAAAAGCATACTTTGGCATTGTCACAATTCTCCATATAGAGGTCATTTTAATGGTTTGCATAGGATAATAAAAGTCCTTCAATCGGGCTTTTATTGTCCGTCTTTGTTCAAAGATGCACACTTGCATGCTAAGAATTGTGATAAATTCCAAAGGAGTGGAGGAATTGGGAAAAGAGACGAAATACCTTTGAATAATATGTTGGAGATAGAGGTTTTCAATTGTTGGGGAATATATTTTGTAGGACCTTTTCCCCCATCATTTTCGAATGAATTTATCCTTGTTGTAGTGGATTATGTCTCTAAATGGGTTGAAGCGATGGCTTGTCCTCTGGCGGACAGCAAAACGGTCATAATATTTCTAAAGAAAAATATTTTTTCCCGTTTTGGCACTTCGCGAGTTTTAATTAGTGATGGTGGATCATACTTTTATAATACACCTCTTGAAAAAGTTTTGGAAAACTATGGTGTAAAGCATAAAGTGGCAACTCTGTACCATCCACAAGCTAATGGTCAAGCCAAAGTTTCAAATAAAGAAGTAAGAGGATTTTGGAAAAGACCGTGTCAATTTCATGGAAGGATTAGTTGCTTAAGCTTGATGATGCTTTGTGGCTGTATCGTACCGCTTACAAAACTCTGATTGGTTTGACACTGTTTCAAATGGTGTATGGAAAAACTTGTCACCTTCCAGTAGAAATTGAACATAAGGCTTTGTGGGCATTAAAGTTCTTAAACTTTGATTCTAACTTGTCTGAAGGAAAAAGAAAAATTCAATTGCAGGGTCTTGATGAATTAAGTAATGATGCTTATTGTTGTACCCCAAAATTTTCCCTCTCACTTATCAAGAATTTCCTCATAAGGTCTCTTTGACTCAAGACTGCATTAGGATATGACCAGCTCAAGACACCTCCTCATGCACTGATGACCAAAATTAGGGTTTGAGTTTGCACAAGTGTTTTTGGACTATCAATGCTTCATTTGACTTTCAAGGATCATTAGGTACCCCCAAGATTACTCATGCCAAGTTTCAAGCCTTGAATCACATTTTTGATCAGTCAATTGGACAGTTGACCTAAAAATCAGTTGTATTGGGAAAAAGTCAACTATGGCCAATTTACAATCAAGCTTCATAATTTTTTATCCACATTAACATCTTAGACTCATATGTATCATTTGATCAAGTTTGGACCATAATTCCCCAATAAATTTGATCAAATCATCAAAAGGGCAAAATGGTCAAAATTAGGGTTTTGACTGAGAAAATGCCATTTCTGATTTTTGACCTAGAAAATGATCAATAGGTTTGAAGCATGATTTCAAGAGTTAATTTGCATCATCTTGACCTAATGACATGATTCGAAACATTACAAATTCATTGGATTGACAAATGAATTTTTCAGTCAATTGATCAAAAGTCAACTGTATACTGAAAAGTCAAACTTTGACTTTTTGGTCAAATTCAAGTGTCAAGGATCACAATTCATAAAAACATGTCAAAATGTGAAGCTTGTTCATCAAGAAATCAAAGATTTAAGATTTGGATTTGAAAAGTTGAAAAATTCTATCTTAGAAAATTTTCTAAGTATAGAAAATTTCTTATTTTTTCTCAACTTTAAGCCAAATTATCACCATGATACAAGATGATTCAAAGGAAGTTCCAAACATGAAAGTTGTAGATCTCCATGAAATATACAACTTTTCTTCACACAATTT